TGTATCAGATAGGTTGGAGTAGGTCACCTGGGGATAGGAATACAAACTGGGCAACTATTGCAAATCTAAGGCTAAAGAACAGTGACTAAATTTGGTTCTGGCAATAAAAATGAAAAGGGAAAAATAAATGTGGAAAACACTAGGAAAATAAGAAGTAGTGATCCTTATCTAAGCAGTTGAAAGAACCGTGGATCATATGTAGCTTTCTTGTGATTTGTGTGAATAGTAATCCTACCTCCCTGTCAGTGGTTGGTTCAGAAATGTGCTTCTGCAGCAATTCTGTTAGATGAAAGGTGAGGTTTTTGTAGGCTTCTGAGAAAATTGTTCCTTGGTCTTGCTGTTTCCAGGTCTACTCACTTCCTACCCCACTCTACCTCTCATTATAAACAAAGCATCCTAAAACTAGGATAATAAAGGAAAATAGCCTATCATTGTGAAAGAGCAGACAGAAGAAAGCAGAATCAATTCAATGCATTCAATAGCTCTAAGGCTAACCTCATCAGTGAAATTCAAGCCATGTAAACCAATAAAGGTCCTTACTACTAAAGAAGTTTGTATCAGGAGTTTTGTCACTTGCAGCCAAAGGCATCATAACTGAATAGGGAATACATGGGGGAAAAATGTTTGAGGTAGAGGGAAAGAAACCAATGGAGAGGGGAAAACTAGATACCAGGAAAAAAGAAGGGCCTGTTAATGAAGTTCCTAACAGGGGGCAAGGAAGAAAGATGGATGAACATTTATTCTGAGAAAAGTGTCAAGAAAGATTGTAGGAGTAAAAATAAAGAGATCTGTGAGTGAAGAGGAGAGAACTTAGAATACATATTGGATTGGCTTTTATATCAGCACAAGAGAAGGCAAACTCATCCTCTGAAAGTGAATATAAGATCTAAGTCACAGATTTTAAGAGGATAGGCCTCTTGGTCCATCAGCCACATAAACACCACTTCCTTTGGAGCTGGCTTCATGCTCCTGACTCACCTAGCACCTTCCAGAGGCCATGGCTGGGCATCTGTGTCCACAATGCTTCCTGCTCCAAGACACAGACCACAAAGAGCCCAATGCCCTCCTGGTCCCCTCTTCCACTTCTGCCACTAGATTCCCAAGGTGAACTCCACAGGCCAGCCTTTTCCCCTCCATTCATGCCCATACGCCCAGTCATTTTATACCATTGTATAAATATATAAATATAATATGTGAAGACATCTTAGTTTTTATTTTTGAAACAATTTTTAGGCTTGTTCCAGGGATCTCTGTGCTGCTTGTACTGAACTTTTTGTCAAAAAGAGAAAATTAAAAATAAATAGAAGCAAAAGTTTTGTAATTATTGTTTCATTCTCTTATTTCTTTTAGTATACTTAATATATACCTGAGGACCTACTGTTGGCCAAACCCTTTATTAAGCCCTCTAAAATATTTTTTTAAAATGCATTTCGTTGCTTTCCAGAACCATGTAATTCATCACAGTAGTTCTCAATGTGCAGTTTCATGACAGCAATAGCTAACCTGTGTAAAAACAAACTCCTGGACCCCCAACCCAAATACTAAATCAAAAACTCGGAGAGTATAGCCCAGTAATTTGTGCTTTTAATAAGGCCAATGCACACTGAAGTTTAGAACTAATGTGTAATGGGAGATCAACTGACAACAGAGTTGCTATAGTTTGGATACGGAATGTTCCCAAAGGCCCATGTGTTAAAGGCTTGGTCCTAAGCTTAGGGCTGTTGGAAGCTAGTGGAAACCTTTAAGAAATGGGGCCTATGGCAAGTTTTAGGTAACTGGGTTGTGCCCTTTTAAGGGGATTATGGGACATGGGTTTCTTGCTCTCACTCTGCATTTCTAAGTCAGCTTGGGGTGAATTTGCTTCACCATGTGTACTGCTTCACTAGAGGCCCCAACATTTTGGCAATTGACCATGGACTGTCTTTGAAATTGTGCCAAAATAAAATTTCCCTTTGTTAAAGCCAAATATATCACATATTTTGTTACAGTAATGAAAAGCCAATAAAAGAATTATGACAAATAGTAGTGGAAGCACAAGGAATAGAGTGCCTGGGTAAATCAGAAAGGCTCCTAGAGGTAGTATTTACTCAAACTTCAAAGGATCAGTAGACACCTGCCTATGTAGATACAAAATATTTATATTCCACTTAATACCACTGTCATTTCTTTACCATTATGTGCTCATTTTTTCTTAGTGCTAATAGAATTCTAGCATTTACCCCTGAAATTCTACTCTTTTAATTGGCAAGAGAAATGGCAAGATAGGGATTAACTGTTCTTTCCTTCTCTGAAGCTTCTAAAAAGCAGATACCATTCTGCATCACAAAACAGTCTCTGCAAATGTTATTCCTAACAAAGGATTTTTGTAATACTCAGACTTCAAAGACCATTGCTACTTTCTATAAATATCTGTAATTCTAACTGGTTGTTTTATGTAACATGTATGTTGAAATTTGTTTTCTGTGAGTTTTAAGCACTTGTTTTCTCCCATATTTGTGGAATGAAAGAAAAAAAGAATAAAACCTAAGTTTCTTCTTTGAACAGAGTGTGAGTTTCTGTCTAAATTAATACTTGGTAGACCAGAGGAAAAAACAACTACTACTAGTAGTAGTCTCATCATAACATGGGAGAAACTATTTCTGTTATTTCATTAGTACAAACTGGGAGAAGGCCAAAGACAAGAACAGGTAAATGGATAGAATACCATAGGACATGCAATGGATTTAACTGAGTCTTTTGTAGGTAATAAGGATCTCTCCAAGGAATATAGTGTTAATATGATAAAATTCCATATAAGTTCAGAATAGGTTAGATTGGAGTGGGTCCACAATAATTTTTAACAATGAGTGCCTTGTTTCTATAACGTGAGTTTAAAAAAAAAAAAAGTACAAATTGTGTAACTTGAAACTTTATTTTTAAAATATTCTGAGGTTTTTCAAGATTTTAACCACCATCTACCTCCCATGAATACATACATTTTTATCTTAAAATTATAGACCTTATTGCAGTACAAAACAAGAAACAATAATTCTAATCTAGCTAATCAAATTCCTCCAGTAAACAAACATGCTACAACCTGGAATCACCTAAACTAAAATTCTAGTTCTCTTTAGAAGATATTTATAGCCACCTCCCCCCTCCCAGAAAACCAAAGTAATTGATTCAACAACACTAATAGTTCTAGCATGCAGCAAACCATCATTTAGCAACTGTTTAGTCTTCTTAACACAGACATGACTTTATTTTCATTCCTATAAAGTTTCCATAATAAGCTTGTACTGATAATAAAGGTAAATAAGTATTTTGTTACAGGTACTTCAAATAGCACTACAGTATATCTTTGACAAAATTTTTACAATTTTCCAACTTTCAATATGAAACAGCTTAAAAAGGCATGGGTCAAAAAAAAAGTATAGTTGCATCACTTAGGCAAATAAAGTCTCATACAGTCATACAAGCACAACACTCAGAACTCTCCCTATTTAGGTTGGGAAAGAAGACATCTCCATCAAATAAAATTACATAAATAGCCTAAGCCAAAAATCCATAATTTCAGACATATTATGGAAATAACTCTTGAACTTTTATTCTTGGAAATTATAAACTAATTATTCCTTGATTTTATGTAATAGGTATGTTATTGAAGAGTTTTGTGTAAAGCAAATTCTGTAAACCATATCTTGCTTGCACTGGAGAAACATTTCTCAAGGAAACATGAGAAAGTATTCTTGTGATTCTCCTTTGCTTTAGCAGAATGCCTCTCCTTCAAAACAGGCACATTTGTACATCACTGGGTATTATGTTGTCCTATTTCATCTCTGTAAATTAAACTCAAGTTACTTAAAATTCCCTTGTGGTAAAAGCAAGCAAACCAAACCCCTTCCCACCCGCGCCCACCACCACAAGACAGTTCTTAGAATATAATGCAAAACTTACAACTGTTCATTTCAAAGAGGGTTTTTCACTATATTTGTATGCTAAGATAAATACTCACTTGTTCCTTTCACCTTAGAAACACAATCATTTCTTTTGTTACTAGAAAATGTCATTCCTAAAGATTTTTATAAACAATGGCACATGTGAAGGACAATTTGTGATTAAAACTTTCTCATAGTTTACAACTAAATGAAATATTACCCAAATCATAATTCTGTTTAGAAAATGTATAACCAACTATGTTATTCCTATACAGGAATGATTACCTTACTAATCAAAATACAACTTAATAAGGATCAAAGTAACATTCCTTAGTATTTCTTGCAAAATTATAAAGGAATAAAAACTAAAACTACATATATTCAATGCCATTTGATCAAACCTAGAACAGATTCAGTTAAATCACAGAGCCACTCAATTAAAGAGGCATTAAAAGTTTTGCTAAAATAAATGTAAAAATCTTATTGAAATACATTTTTCTAGATGAGAATTTTGTGAATTACTGCTGTTAACTATTAACAAGCAAATAGATGAAATGCATTTATTCTTCTAAAAAGATAAAACTGTGTACATATTATTAAAAAAAAATATGGCACTTGGAAAATATTCCTGGTGAATTATGATAAATGTGGATATAGCCTAGCCTCTCATATTTTTAAGTTTTTTTGGGGAAAGACAATAACAGGACAAAAAAACCAAATCCTCATCCCTAAGGAAAAGGATATTAAACAATCACACAATCCTAATCTATTAACTTTGAAAAGACTTTGAAAATAATGCTGTAAATTTCCCCATCCACTTTCACATTATCTCTATGTTTTTAAAACTTATAAGAAAAAAAAAATGTTTTCCAATGAAATTTGAGCTACAGGTGGACAAAATTTTGCTTTCATGTAACATAAAATACAGGGGCACTATTTGCTCCAGATAAAAGGCCATTTTTGCCTTTCAGTCTTTTGAGTGTGTATGTGTTTGTGTGTGTACACACACACATGTACATATATATATATATATATATATATATATATATATATATAAATATATATATTAAAGGAGACAGCATGTCTCAAGGAATAACTCCTTTCAAAAATAAGGTTGTGGGGCTGGGGATATAGCTCACTTGTAGAGTGCTTGCATTGCATGCACAAGGCCCTGGGTTCAATACCCAGCACCACAAACAAAAGGGGGAAAAAAAAAGGTTGCTTGTGTAACAGGGACTTATAACTTCCAATACAGCCAAAGTATGCTTATAATATTAAAATAAATGTTTATTTTATGACATTAAACCATGTTCTTCCTTTTAAAAATTAATTTGGCTGTTCCTAAAACATTGTATTAATGTTCTATTTATCTTGTCTCCTTACCACATAGGACAAGCAACTGCCTATGCAATCATTCAATATGCAGGGCTTTAGATAAAAATGTTTTAAAAGATCACCAGAGACAAGCATGTTGATGGTTTTCAGTTACATAACTGAATCTAAGACAGCTATTTTCTCTTGTGGTCGTTCTTTAAAGTGAGTAAGTTGATGTCTCTTCCAGTGAGGAGCCTGTCTGAATGTTTTGCCACAAACTGAGCATTCAAATGGTTTCTGCCCTGCATGAATTAGATAATGTCTTTCCAGTTTAGATGGAGATCGGAAACTTTTACAACAAACACTGCATGGGTAAAGGAGGCCATCATTTCTCTCAGGCTGCCCTGAATAACTATAACAATGGTGGCTTTGCTCTGATTCCAAAAGTGCATTAGAGAGATAGGGTTGTCTGTTCCTACAATGGGTACCAAGAATGAAATCCTCTGATTCTGCCTTACCTTCTTTTTCAGATATCTGACCTGACTCTGAAACCTCATATTTTTGAAAGCCAAGAGACTGACATTGTTCAGAAGCATTACAGCTAACATTATCACCTTGTTGACTAAGAAATTTGTTCATATTTTCAAAATCTAGCTGGTAAAGAGAACTATATGCACCCTTTTCAATATGTGTTTCTTTATGTCTTTTTAAGTGAGCTGACTGTCTAAAAGATTTCCCACAATCACTACAGGCAAAAGGCCTCTGTCCAGTATGAATTAAATAGTGTCTTTGTAGTTTGGATACAGAAGGAAAAACTTTCTCACATTTATCACAAGGAAACATCTTATGTCCATTATGTATATTTTCACTTGGAACTGAAAAACCACACTGAAGCACTTCACAGTTATTAAAGAGTTCCTCACCTGATGAACCATAGATGGACAAGTCTTTATTATTCACTGAACTATCCATAGTTAATATGCTTTCTGTCATAAGGACATCTTTTAAATTTTTCCCCATATTTTGGCTCTGGAATTGCTTTTGCCAAGAAAATGGCAAAGTCAATATTTTCTTCTTTTTATTACCAACTGTTTTAAATGTTCCATGTTTGCCAAGAGAACCCACAAATGTTCTCTGGGCTTGTTCAGAGTTCTGCTCACCAGAAATTATATCATTATTTTTCAAAAAACTGTTTTTAAATACCTTTTTCTCTGTTCGAAAGTTATCTAATTTTTTACCCCCAGCACGTCTAAGCTTGGCCAAGATTTTTTTAACAATGGTTTTATAGTTGTAGCTTCTTTTGAGCCTCCTTGGAATTTTGCCACCTCTGGCAGGAAAACACTTGTGTCCATTGAGAATCTGCTCTGATTCAAAACATTCTTCACACTCTGAACACTGAAAAGGGACAATATAAATAGAGTGAACATCAAGTGGATTATTCTCAGATTCACCCATATCGCCATTTTCAAAACCATCTTGCTTTGTATTTAATTTATTAGGCAGGGGGCATGATTCTGGACTCTTCACCTTTAATGAAAGAGTCTGAAAAGTCTTATTCCTAGTATGGATTTGTTTATGCTTCAGAAGTTTGCTTTGAATCTTAAATCCTTTTTGACAAAAACAACATTGAAAAGGTCTTTCTTCTGAATGTGTGAGTTGGTGGATTTTTAAATGAGTTGACTGTCGGAAAGATTTACTGCACAGGACACATTTAAAAGGCTTCTGACCAGTATGAATAAGTGCATGCCTATCAAGTTTTGATTGTGACGGAAACATCTTGCCACAGATTGTACATGCATGAATACTCTTTCTTCTCTTCGTTGTACTGTACGTGGGATCAGGCTTAGAGCATGAGTGTAATGCCCATCTCTCATCGCTGGTAAAAGTGTTATACACTCCGTATACTGGCTTTTCTTGCTTGGCCTCCAGCAATCTTCTGACCTGCTTAACATCATTCTGATAGGTTTCATTGTGAAGTTGCTGGTGCTTCACAAACGTCTTCAGATTTTTAAAGTGGCGTTGACAAATACTACATTTAAAAGGCAGATTATGAGTTAGCTGATGCCTCTCCAGATGAACTAGTTGTCTAAATGTTTTATGACAAACATCACATTCAAATGGTTTTTGACCAGTATGAATGAGATAATGTCTAGCCAGTTTTGATGGTGTTTCAAACTGCTTGAAGCAAATATTGCAAATATATGGCCTGTTTCTAGGCACTTTGTTGGCTTCTACACACTCCTGAATCTTTAGCATTTTAAAATTGTTTTCATCCATCATATTTTTCAGTAACACACTCTGATGAGCTCCATAGTGTTCTTAAACTTCAAATGTCTAAAAATTAAAAAAAAAGTATTAAAATAAAATTCTTTATATTCATATGAAAATAAATTATGTTATTTCCTTTGGCTGTAGATATTAAAGGTAAAGGAGAATTTGGATTCTTCTTGTGTTGAAAAGTAAATTAACCATTTTAGATAAATTCTTCAAAATCTTAATAGTATTTTCACACATGAAGGTATGTTGCATATTAGAAGAAATATCTAACCACATATAACTTTTATTTAAATTATTAAGTAGATTTAATCAACATTTCATTGCTTTATTGCTTTTTTTGCTTTGTCATTTTTCAAAAAATGGGCTAGAAAGGTAGTGTATGAAAATTAAAACATAATACTAGAATATGATGCATTTGCATTCAATTAGAGCACATATTGTAGACATGCTCTAAAAATGGACTGTAACTTATCAAAGTTACATTTCTTAGGCACACTAACTCCATTTTTAATTACTTCTTTAGATTAACAAAGACAACATGGACAACTAGGAGAAAATTCTGAAAGACCTGGGTTCTAATCCTGAATTTTTTACTACATGATCTTGGTGGTGAGAAGTAAGTAAAGATTCCTTATCTGTGAAACAGGGAAATGTCTCATAGAATGGCTATCACACTATGTTACTGTGCAAATCAACAGAGATAATGCATGTGAATGTGTTGGAAAACTTGAAGCAATATATTATAAGGTATTAGTTACCTTATAATACCTTATAAAATGAGGTATTATTTATCTTAATGCTAATCAAATTTTAAAATTTTATTCTTATCTCTTTAATTACATTTTAGGGTTTCTAACTAAGAGATTTACAGTTCTTTTTATTTCTCCTTTCCACTTTGTTATGGACTTCCCCCCAAAAAAGTACAGAAAAATGATGCCAACAAATTGCATTCATATATATTTATGAATAAGTCATTAATTGAATGTTAAAGATGGTTCACTTGTCAGGCAACATAATAAAAAGGTTATTCTGACCTCATAACATAAAAAATTCCTTCCATGCAAGACATATAAAAGTTTACAGGCACTTGCACAATCATTGTACACACTATCTTTTTGAAAAGCCAATTTTCGGGGCTGAGGTTGCAGCTCAGTGGTAGAGCACTTGCCTAGCACGTGCAAGGCCCTGAGTTCCATCCTTAGCACCACATAAAAATAAATAAATAAAATAGAGGTATTGTGTCCAACTACAACTAAAAAATAAATATTAAAAAAAAAAGAAGCTAATTTTCTTCTACTGCTACTACTACAATACTGCCCTGACATAGGGAGTCAGAGCCAAGCACAGTGGCACACACCTATAATCCCAGTGGCTCTGGAGGCTGAGGCAGGAGGATAGTGAGTCCAAAACCAGCCTCAGCAACTCAGTGAGGCACTAAGCAATTCAGTGAGACCATGTGTCTATATAAAAAAGGGCTGTGGTGTGGCTCAGTGGTTAAGTGTCCCTGGTTCAATCACAGTTTTAAAAAAGCCAGAGATTTACCAAAAAGAAAGAAACAAACAAACAAAAAATCACCACCACCAACACCAACAAAAGAACACAACTATGCCACCTCTCTTAGTCTAACGTATCTTCTAAAAAGTTGATCGCTCTACCAGAAACTCAGTGTTCTTTTGTCAACTGATTTGGCAAATGGCAAACATAGATGCTATTTACTGTTTTCTCTTAGAAGATACCTTAAACACAAAATCAAATATACCCATGGTTATTTTCTTTAGCCATGTGAATTTAGAAATAGGGAAAATAAAATAAGAATAAATGCTTTCTACTGGATGCTTTATCACAGTGTTTTTCAAACTGCAGGTCACTACTCATTATTCGACTTAAGTCAACTTATTGGATCATGATCAGCATCTTGTTTAAGAGTAGAAAGTACCAGAACATATCATATAGCAATGATAAACACTGTTTTGTGAAACGTCTACAGGAAAAGGTGAAGAAGTCTGTGAAAGGGGCTGGGGATGTGGCTCAAGCCGTAGTGCGCTCGCCTGGCATGCGTGCGGCCCGGGGTTCGATCCTCAGCACCACATACAAAGATGTTGTGTCCGCCGAAAACTGAAAAATAAATATTGAAATTCTCTCTCTTAAAAAAAAAAAAAAAAAAAAAAAAAAGTCTGTGAAAGCCCTTTCTAACATACTTCTTTGCACAACACTATACAAAGAAACCACCAATAATCTCCAATAAATCAATCACTTTCTTCAAAGTGGCCAAGTAATCTGTTAGAATGATAAAGGTAGGGGCCCATGGGATAAGATAAAATTACTATGGAAAGCATCAGTGTCCAGTTTTTTCCACTTGTCCCATATTACTCCAAAATATTTATTAAAAAAAAATCATCCAATTGGGGATGGGGTTGTGGCTCAGTGGAAAAGTGCCTGCCTCACATGTGTGAGGCACTGGGTTTGATCTTTAGCACCACATAAAAATAAATAAAATTAAAAGTATAAAAAAAAAATTGTCTTTAAAAAAAAATCATCCAATTAGAGACCAAATGGAAAATGCCCCACAATTATATGCAAAATAAAATCACCTGACCATAAGCTGCTATATTAATTTATAAAATATACCACACAGCCCAACAATCAGTTGTTGGTGCTATGAGTATGAACTGTCGCTACACTGAGCTAGAGAATTACAGGTGAACAACTTTCAAGATGCTGATAGTAAGAGTCGCAAGCATTAAAAGACATAAATCCAGTGAATTTAATTCATATTGGGTCGTTAAGATGGTTCATCAGGGAAATGACACAAAATGAAATTAATAATCAAGCCTTTACTCATATCAATAGTAAAAACACATCACAAGTTCTTCAGTAGTCCCTCAAACAGAAGGACACTATGTGAAGGTTAAGTGGATATAATGCATAGCAGGGAATATTCTTGTCACAGAGGAGCTCCTAACAAAAGGCTCCTACCTCTTATGGATTGGTGGGCCAGGAGGTTGGAGGGTTAGGAGTGAATGGACTGGAGTCAAACATGGAGAAAGGAGTGAAAGGACTGGAGGCAAAAATGGAGAAAAGTGATTCGGCCACAGCATTCAACAGGAAGACCTCCAAATGGAGGCACCTGAACCAGGAAAGAAGTTATGGTAAGAACACGGCTAACAGGAGGGGAAAGGCAAGTTTGTGACTGCAACTTCTTCCAGGCAACTGCAACTTTTGTACTGTCCAGGCAATAAGTCTGGTATGGGAGGGCGGTTTTACCCCATGAAGCCATGAGGCAAAGCCTAACAATTGTCTAAGGTCAATTAGAATTTTTAGGATTCTTTTTTTTTGGTTGGTGGTGCCAGGGATTGAACCTAGGGCCTTGTGCATGGCAGGCAAACACCCTACCGACTGAGCTATATCCCCAGCTAGGCCTTAGTATTTTGGTCTGGAGCTGGGCTTCTAAATTCTCTTTGACTGCTTCTCCTTCCATTTAATAACTTTTTGTGGAACATACAGAAAAACTCAAAAATAACAATGACAAAACCCAAACTAGAACTAGAAGACAAACATTTCTGACTATAACAGGGATTGACTACCTACAGCTCCTGTATCAAAACGGGTCTATGGTAGATAACCCATCACTAGCACTAAACACTAAAATTGGATACTATTGTCATTTGCCTCCCAATCATGTGGGAAAGCACTTACTGGGAGCCCTATGTTGTTAGAGCCATTGGTGACAAGTGGTGATCTCATTCTCTATTTATAAGTAAAAGGTCAGGGATTTCCACACTCCAAATGCAATCCCCCATGTACTTATACAAGGATGCCCATGGAGTTCTAAATCCCATTTCTATTGATTTTCTGTTCTCTCTGCTGAATTTTTTTTTTTTTTTTTTTTTTTTGGTCTTTAACATTAAAAAAAAAAACAAGCTAGGACTGTAATTTTTATGTTAAAGGAGAACAAAACTAAACCGTAAATCTGATCAATGGTTTAACCCAAAAACTACCCTGACAAGAACAAAACATATCACGTTGGATGATTACAAAAAGTGACCTAAATAAAATCCAATGCTGCCTCAAGATTTCAGGCTGAATTAACATATTAAAAAGACGTTAGGATATCACAAAAGTAAATGAATGAGAAACATAGCGACCTAAGGGAAAAGAGACTTAAGAGAAATATAGACAACTTTCAGTAGGGGAATAATCTCTGGTGGCCTTTGCTTCTTCCTCCCTAGTTTCGCTCCACTACTCCCTCCCTCACCACTCTCTGGGCCTGGAACCCTCACCTTTCCCTCCCAGTGGGACTACACTAAACAAAGAACCCTGAAGACTAGTTCTCAGCCTAAACGCCCACAACCAATGAGCACCTAGGGGTGACTCGAGCCAAGAAACTATACACCTGGAAAGGAAGGGCAAGGATGAAAACTCCTCTGAGGGTAGTCAGGAAAAAGAAAATAAATAAATAAAACCGTCTGCGACTCTACCCACAGAGGGGGGTTTGGGGGGATGCCTCCCCTCCTTACCTTCCTCCTAAGAGATTCCCGCTCCCAGAGAAACAAACTCAATAGGCAGGGAAGTGGGAAATGAAGCTGAGGGGTGCTGTGGTCGTGGCACCCTGCTCTGGGTCCCCGGGCACCTTGGTGGCATTTAGGCGGGCCTGACCCTCCCTGGGATTTACTACACCTCGCACCCGGGTTCCCGAAGTCCTCCTCACGCACCTGGAGCCGGCAAGGGCCCAGCAGCCGCGCACCTCAAGGCGCGAGGGCAGCAAGCGCACGTCCGCAGGGTCTGCGCGGCGTCTGACTGAGCGCGCAGGCGCGGCACGCAGGCGCGCCCCAAGATGCGGTCCGGCTGGAAACAGGTTCCTCCCATCTCTGGGCCGCCCGCCGGTTCTGGAAACCCGGATTCCAGAAGTGCGCTCCCAATCCCAGCGTTTGTCGCCTGCAAGTGGGAGGGTGCGTTTTCCATCTTGTTATGAAATCACAACTAGGGAGGGAAACCCTGTAATCAGGCTAGAAGGCTCAAGGCCTGGAAACGAGAGTCGTCAGCTCCCTGGATTAGCCCTCTGTAATGCAGAGGACTGATAAACAAACCGTGTATTAGGGTTTTTGTGTGTGTGTGTGCCCGGTCTGTCCCCAGCGCTCTCTGTACGTGAGCGTTGTGCTCAGACATAACTTCACTGTGGCTCTACCAATGGCCTGCTAGCTGCGGACCTTGTTGGCCTCGCTATGCCTCATTCATTTGATATGTTTTAGACGTCTGTAATATACAAAACCCTAAGTCTCTTAGAGGCCCCGATAATTAGATAAAATGCGTGTAAACTGCTCAGGATAATTACTGGTGTGTAATAGGTCCTCAAAGAACTATTATTTATTGTTTTATGTTGATTAGAACAACTTTTTGAAGTTCACTACTGTTTCCCAAATTACAGATATTTCAACAATATCCATTTTATGTGGACATAAGGGCCAAATATTGTTGCACAGTTAACAGACTAAGGTGGCACATTATAGCTAAATAAGATGCTAAGATGTTGACTAAAGATTTTGAGTACAAAGGCATTACAGAAGAATTTATTGTCAGTTTTTACAGGTTCTAACTATAATCCTCTCATCTTGAGACAAGGAAGTGAGATTAAATGTCAAGCAAACTTTTCCAGCTGGACGCATACTTTCCAACGACCATTGATAACAACAACAACAAAAAAGTTAGTTTCTAATGTTAATATACTTTCCTCTTGGGATGGGGAGATAATTAAGCTAATGAAAAGCAAATCTGTACTTTGGATATAGTACATAAGAAAATGACCAATAGTAAATAAGCCTTTGCTTCTGACATAAGAACCTTGAAGGAATCAGATTTGTGAAATTGCTTTTTTTTTATTTTAATTTTTTTTTTACTTGTTGATGGGACTTTATTTTATTTTATTTATTTACTTAGATGTGGTGCTGAGAATTGAGCTCAGTGCCTCACATGTGCTGAGCAAGTACTCTACCACTGAGCCACAACCCCAGCCCTTTTAATTTTTTTTTGTATATGTAAATGGACAAGAATGCCTTTATTTTATTTGTTTATTTTTATGTGGTGCTGAGGATCAAACCAAGTGCCTCACGCAAGCTAGGCAAGCACTCTGCCACTAAGCTACAGCCCCAGCCCAGAAATTGCTTTTTCCAATAGTCACTTCCTCCAACAAAAACATGTACGCTGAAGGAAAAGGAAGGACTGTTCAGGTGTTTCAGATGCCAATCCGGGGGTAGGGATGCTGTTAGTTCATACAACCCCTGGAGGCTTACTCCATTCTGCACTTTCTTCTGGAGAACTCAACTCAGTCAAACCGTGCAAACAAACAATTGAACACTCCACCAGCCATATAAATCCTTAGGAAAGATAACCAGGCCCTGAGAGAATACTACTTGAAATTGTAGACCAAAGGAGGGTAGGATTAGTTCTTTATTCATTCCCTGCAAACAAATAGGCCTTTGCACCAAAAGCCTGAGTATAGAGTGTGGATAGCAGTTAGAACTTAGAAAAGTTATTCTCCAAGGCCACATATCCCATATGATATCCTTTCCCATTTATTCTTAGAGCTAATTTGGAAGCCTCCTATATATATATAAAAAAGGAAGAACTAATGTAAATAAGAGACATCAAGGAAGATTTTATTGAATAGGTGATATTTGAATTTGCACTTGGGGTGGATAGAATACAGATAAATAGAAAATGTGGGGTCAGGACTGAACATGAGAGGCAGAGAAATAGGATGAAAAACAAGGGAGTGTGACAAGGAAAAATAAAATGATTTGACAGATGTTTTGATTAGTAACTTATGTCTGTTACTTACTAGTTCAGTTCTTATAAGTTATTTAACCGTCCTGAGGCTCAGTTTCCTCATCTGTCAAACAGAGACTTATTCACTTCTTCAGTGACATATACTGAACATGAAAGATTTGCTTCTAGGTATATAAAGATGAGGCAATAAGGCTTTTGACCTTAAAGTGGTGTTCAGCTCACAGGAAAGAACAGCATACAGACAAACGAGTACAAGAGATCGTAGGTACAGAGTGGTTTGGGTGAAATAACATCTAAATCTTCCTGAGGGCTTCTAGTGAAGATGGCTCCTGACCTTAGGCTTCATTCATCCTTCCTTCCATCCATCCTAAATATATTTTATTAAGCATGTCCTGTGTTCCAAATTCTATTCTAAGCACTAGGGATAGAGTAACAGACAAAATACAAAGTCCAAAGTCTCTGTATTAGTAGATCTTATATTCTACTAAGGAAGTGCACAAATTAGATGAGTGAAATAGATAATATGTTTAACATTGATAAGAATTGAAGAAAAAAAGTAATGCACAGAAATGAGCTATAAAAATTTTGCAGTATGGATTGTTGGCATTTTAGAATTTGGTCAGAAATGGCCTTACTAAGAAGTTCTGTGATTTTTTTTATTTGAAACCTGCTGGAAATGAGAGATCCTCCCCTACCTATGAGAGATGGTAGGAGGTAGGACTATACTGAGTAGGAACTTGTTTAGTAGACAATAGTGTGTGCCTTGGGGAGATAGTTGGGGAAAGGAAGAGACTATTCTAAAAACAGAAGACAGTGAAAGAGAGCACTACAAATAGGAAACTATGAGTAGTTTGGAATTGCTGGAGTATGAAATGCAGGTCAGGGGAGAGGGAAATGGCAGGAAGAGATTCATTCAACCAACAATTTGACACAAATACTACTTAACAGACTTTGTGTAAGAAGCCGCAAAAGGCCTTCTATACAAAGGTTTTCTTCTATTTTCTTTTTCTATATGTTATGAAAGATAATTGTACTTGAAAGCAACCTATACCTTTAGCATCTTTTATAGCATTTTTAATACTATAAAGGCAGAATTTTTGAAATTGAGTTTACATGCTGTGAAAGCTGTCTTCTGCCCTCAAGTAACAGGCCTGGCAGGGAGGTTCCATCCTACCTCTCTAATTTTTCCTTTTTTCTCTCCCTCATCCTTCTGTGGAGCAACCAATACTATCATCTGTTTGCCTCCTGCAGATATCTACCCAAATCTGCACCCCTCAAATGTCAGCTTCTACCCCCAAGCGATTGTCAAAGAATTTTTCCAACAAAGAGAGCTTTCCATATAAGAAGATTTTTATATATACTTCCTCAAGAAAAATATTTGCAGCCTCTTGCACATTTTGCTACAACTTCTGAGGGTCTTACGGCATTGGGATGAGGTAGAAAAGTGGGGGGGGGGGTGAGTAGAGAATTAATTGAGATCAAAAGATGAAGATCAGTTTGGCTGTAGTTTATTTAGGCCAATTGGACCAACTCCACTTACAGGCTAGTCCCAGTTTCCTAAATACTTCCTGGAAATTTCTAAAGCTCCTTTGCTGATAATTAAATTTCTGGGTCTAGTAAGGTGTTTGGATTGTCCCACCCTTCCCCCATCCCACTTCCCAAGTGTCCCTAGTTCAAATTCCGTAACCCTCAGTTTCCGAAGTTTCCTAAAAAGAAGGCAGGATCCCCAACATAGGGGTTTGACCCTTTTGTTTACCCTTAGAATCAGAGCCAACCTCTTGACCTTTCATCAAATAGCCCTTTGACTGCTTTAAATTCAGGGTGTATATAATCTTTCCTGCTTATTTTAAAAGGGACATACTTTTCTTTTCCTCTTCTTCTTCTCCCCCTTCCTAACCTAGGGGGTGGGGAACAAGATTATATTCACAGGAAGGAAAGATCTAGGAAGTGACTATTTCTCAAATCAACAAGTGAATTTTGACACACTAGCAGGGCCAGCTGGGATCCTTGGTCAGGGCATACCTGGAATGTAGCCTTTGAATAGCTTCTTTAAAAGCCATCTGTTTTTCCTGCTGGGGACAATCACAGCCTCTGGGACAGGAGTCCCCTGTGTTTCTCCTTTGCTAGCAAAGCAATAAAACTTCTTTTTCTTTTTTCTCAAAACTGTGTCCTCATTTTTACATTGGCATGAATTGGCATCAGGGCAAAAACCAAGGTTTCAGTAATAGATACAGTCTATCAAAAAGCATCTGTCTTCACAAGAGCCAGAACATGTCATTTTCCTTCTCAGATGCCACCAACAAGTAGGACTGTGGGTTTGGTTATTTTACTAATTTTTACTTATTTATTATTTAGTTGACACTTAAAATTGTACATATTTGGGGGTACCATGTGATGTTCCCATGTTTGGGTATTGTATAATGTTCAAATCAAAGTAAGTGTATTTATCCTCTCAAGCAGTAGTCATTTCTTGGGAGTGAAAACATACAAAATTCTTCTCATTGTTTTGAAACATGCAACCCATTATCATTTTCTGTAGTCAACCTTCTGTACAGTGGCACCAGAAATTATTTCTCCTACTGTTATTATCAGGGTGTCTAGTTGGGGTCCAGGTCCTTGGTGTTCCTAACAAAGAATTGATCAAGACGTGCACTATTTAGCAGGCAAAGGACAGTGATTTATTAACTCTTATATGCTGAGCTGTGAGATGTTCTCTTCCCTATATGGACCTGATTGAACACCATACTCCATTTGCCCCCAATGCTTACTTTATGATACCTGATTAGAATAATGTCCAATTCCCCTATTGGT